GCAAGGTTCCTTCCAACCCCTAACAATCTATGAATAATTTTTGTTTGTTTTACCTTTCAAGTTGGTGTCACTGTAATTAATAACCATGCACTAATAAAACCAAGATAGGATCTGTACCCAGTGTGGCTGTGGGAGCATGGTGACATTGGTCACCTCAGCTAGCCTTGCTCACCTCTTTTCCCAGGCTTGATTGAATTGGGGGACCAGGAGGACAACAAATAGAAATGTGGGGCCATTTCTCAACAACTCAGGACAGCTGGTTACTGGCACTCCGGAAAAAACTGAACTCCTGAATGAGTACTTTGCTTCGGTATTTTACCGGAAAAGGGGAAAATCATTCCAGATAGGGTACAGAATGAGAAGGGCAGGAATGACTGCTTTCTTACTATTGCCATAGAACTGGTATGTGACCAATTAAAAGAATTAGACACATGTAAGTCAGCAGGACCGGATGAACTCCATCCAAGAGTGCTGAAGGAGCTGGCTGAAGTCATAGCAGAACCACTGGCAAAACTCTTCCAAAACTTGTGGCACTCCAGGGAGGTCGCTGAGGATTGGAAGAGGGCCAATGTTGTACCCATCTTCAAAAAAGAGAGGAGGGAGGACCCGAGTAACTATAGGCCAATCAGCCTAACTTCTATCCCAGGGAAAATCCTGGAAAAATCCATCAAGTAGTCTATGTGCGATAGGCTCGCAGAAGGCAGGATTTCTGAAAAACAGCCAGCATGGCTTCATTACGGACAGGTCTTGTCTTACCAACCTCATCTCCTTTTACGATCAGGTAACCCACCACCTGTATAAGAGAGAGGAGGTTGACATTGTATACCTTGACTTCCTAAAAGCTTTTGATCTGGAATTCCACAATGTTCTCACGAGCAAATTAGAGGATTGTAGGCTTAACTGTGAGACAGTCAGGTGGGTACGACTGGCTGTGGGGTAGGACCGAGAGAGTCCTAATGAGTGTCATCCTGGTGAGAAGTGGCTAGCAGTGTCCCACAGCGGTTGGTGCTTGGTCCAGTACTTTTCAACACCTTAATCAATGATTTGGATGTAGGGGTGAAGAGCTCACTAGCCAAGTTGGTGGACAACACCAAGTTATGGGGAAGCATGATCATGCTTGAAGATAGGCTACAGATACAGGCAGATCTAGACAGGCTAGCAAGTTGGGTGGGTCAGAACCAGATTAAGTTCAACACTGAGAAACATAAAGTGCTCCACATCGGGACAAACAACCCCCAACACACCTACAGGCTTGGCAGCGCCAAACTGACCAGCACCACGAATGAAAGGGACGACTGGCTGTGGTACTGCATCCAGTCTGGGTGCCGCACTTTAACAAGGACATGGACACATGGTAAAGTTTGAGAGGATCCAGAGAAGGGCCACCAGTATGATCAGAGACTTGTGTGGCAAGCCATACTAGGAATGGCTGAAGGACCTGGAACTCTTCAGCCTGGAAAAGAGAAAGCTGAGGGGACTTAGTAGCAGCTTACCACTACATCAGGGAACTACATCAAGGGCTCAGTGAACAACTGTTCACCAGGGCACCCTTGGAGAAAACCAGGAGTAATGGCCACAAACTCCTGGAAGACTGTTTCAGGCTCAACATTAGGAAAAACTTCAGTTACGGTGCCCAGACTGTGGGAATCAGCTCCCTCCTGAGGTGCTGCAATTGCCTATCCTGGAAGTCTTCAAAAGGAGACTAGACAGTCACCTTGCTGAGGTCATCTGACCCCAGTTCTCTTTCCTGCCTGGTGCAAGTCCCTTCCAGCATTACAATCTATGAATCTATTAATAACCAGACTACATTTTCTCTCTCCCATGGGAGAGAAGAGGGGGCAAAGGGGCCAAGAAGCCCCTTTGGCTAACCAGGGTCATCCAAGATAGGTTAAGGGCAAAAAAAGTAGCGTACAAGAAGTGGAAGCAGGGGGTAGGTAGCAGGGAGGAGTACACTTCCTTGGCCCGCACCTGTAGGGAGTCAGTCAGAAAGACCAAGGCAGCTCTAGAACTCAGGCTAGCAGCAGGGATTAAAGACAATAAAAAGTCCTTCTTTAGGTATGTTGGGAGCAAAAAGAGGGTGCAGGGTAGCACAGGACCCCTACAGGGCAGGCAGGGGGGCTGGGCTTAGTGATGGTGTCACTGGTAGGTGTTGTATGGCTTCAGCCCCTTTTTGGTTGGTGCCTTCCTCCCTAGCAACATCAGGGTGAGACAGCACCCTAGGGCCACCTAGATGGTTCTGAGCACTGCCCCTACTCGCCTGCCATAACTTTGATGTTGATAGATGCGGGAGCCAGCTCCCTGCTGGTGGTCCCAGAGAAGTCGTAGCCCTGGATCTTTCTTTGTGGGGCTCCAAACCTCCCCTTTACCCCACCCTTACCACATCCATGGCCTGGGAGAGCTCAGCCCCCTTGTACCTTTCCCTGGGGTGATCTCTTCTCACCTACGAGGCCCGGCCTGAGGGGGGTTAGATTTGTCCAGTCATCAGTCGCTACTGGATTGATCCTTAATCTTCAGGGCAATCCATGGATAAACTAAACGCACCCCAGCCTGGGGTAACAATAACTCAAAAGGTCCTTCACTCCCGGCAAAGGCATTAGGTGTCTACTGAGACCCTTCTGCCTCCCTGGGGTGGGAGAGAGACTCAATGTTGGCCCCTCCACTTACTCTTCCCAGGGACCCGCAGGTTAGGAGCTAATTACTCCTAATTGCCCCTTCCCCACCGAGCTCTGGGCCAGTTGCTGCCTGCTTCTCTTTCTTCACCCGGCTGCCCACCGAGTCTTGGCATCGCTCACTGCCTTCCCCACCAGGATACCTGGCCACTCCTGTGGAGTCTGGTCTTCACCCGCGACTGCGGGAACGACCTTCCTCTCCCTGCCATGCATCTCTGGCCAACTCCAGCTCCTCGAGCTCAGACCTGGGGTTTTCCCTGCCAGGCTGCCCTGTTGGATGCTGGGGCTTCTCGCCCTGTGTCCCACTCTGCCGCTTCTACCCAGCCTGTGGCTCCTTGCTGGTGTCCTGGTGTCCTGCTCCTCCCTGCCGGCGCTCTGCTTCTCTCTGCTCGGTTCCACCGCCCGAGGCTTCTTGCTGGCATCCTGGTCCTGCCCACCATTGTCCTGTTGTTTCCTGCTCAGCTCCAACATCTGCTTCACACTGGCAGCCTCCGTCTCCCCCGCCCAGCAGCTGGGTGTCTCCCCAGCTGCCTTTTGAGCAGCCCGCAGTGCTCACAGGCTCCGCCCCAGGGTTCGCCGATCGATAGGCTCAGGCAGCTGCAGAGCCCCCGAGCCTGCGTCAGCATCTTCTCCCAGCTGCTGCTCATCCCAGCCCCTGCGGTAAGTATCGGGGCTCATCGGGCAGGGTCCCAGGACATGCTGGGAGGGGGGCTTCTGTCTCCCGTCCCACAGACAGATATCAGGGACAAGGCAGAGCTCTTCAATGAGTTTTTTGCCTCTGTCTTCTTAAATTGGAATCTAGACGAACCCTCAATATGTATCGCAGACATCAACAAGGGGAACATCAGCCGACCAACAGTCAGTGCCGACATTGTAAAAGGATACTTGGAGGGACTGGATGTGTTCAAATCACTGGGACTGGAGGGACTCCACCCACAAGGTAATGAAGGAATTAGCGAGTGTCATAGCTGAACCACTAGCAAGGATATGTGAGCACTCATGATGCTCGGGTCAGGTCCCGGAGGATTGGAAGAGGGCCAGTGTCACCCCAATCTTTAAGAAGGGGAGGAAGAAGGATCCAGGGAACTATAGACTGGTCAGCCTTATCTCTATCCCAGGGAAAATCCTAGAAAAAATTATCAAGGAACACATCTGTGGGAGCCCGCTGGCTAATGTGTTGCAGAGGGGTAACCAACATGGGTTTATACCAGGCAGGTCCTGCCTGACTAACCTAGTTTCTTTTTGTGACAAGGTCACCAAATGTTTAGATGCAGGAGTCGAGGTGGATGTTATCTATCTGGACTTCAAGAAGGCCTTTCACATGGTATCCCATACCATCCTTACTAATAAACTGAGGAGATTTGCCTTGGATGATTATACAGTAGAATGGGTAGCAAACTGGCTCAGGGACCACACTCAGAGGGTGGTAGTGGATGGAAAGATGTGTGCAGTGGAGTCCCTCAGGGCTCAGTTCTGGGGCCAGTGCTGTTCAACATCTTCATCAGTGATCTGGAAAAGGGGGTGGACTGTCTAAATTCACAGATGACACAAAAATATGGGGTGAAGCTAACACCCTGGAGAGGAGGAACCAGATCCAGGCTGACCTCGACAGGTTGGGAAAGTAGGCAGAGAGCAACAGGATGCAATTCAATAAGGACAAGTGCAAGGTGCCACATCTAGGGAGAAAAAACTGCCATCATACCTATAGGCTGGGGGGAGACCTTCTCAGCATCACTGAGGCAGAAACAGATCTTGGAGTCACTGTTGACTCCAGGATGAACATGATTCGTCAGTGTGATGAAGCAGTTGGCAGAGCCAATCGCATCTTGTCGTGCATCTGTAGGTGCTTCACAAACAGGTCCAGTGAAGTGATTCTCCCTCTCTACATGTCACTGGTCAGACCGCAGCTGGAGTACTGTGTTCAGTTCTGGATGCCGCAGTTCAAGTAGGATGCAGACAACCTGGAGAGGGTCCAAAGAAGGGCCACTCGCCTGATTAGAGGCCTGCAGGGAAGGCCCTAAGAGGAAAGGCTAAGGGACCTTAACCTCTTCAGCCTCTCCAAGAGAAGGCTGAGAGGAGACCTTGTGGCGGTGTACAAATTCATAAAGGGAGAGCAACAGGAAGTAGGCGATGATCTGCTTACCAGGGCATCCCCTGGAACAACAAGGAACAATGGCCATAGGCTACTGGAGAACAGATTTAGACTGCACATTAGAAAAAAGTTCTTCACGGTCAGGGCCCCCCCCATCTGGAATGGGCTCCCAAGGGAGGTGGTGCTCGCCCCATCCCTGGGAGTCTTCAAGAGGAGACTGGACAGGCACCTGGCTGGGATCACATGATCCCAGGTTTGGTGACCCTTTTCTTGCCTGCCAGGGGCAGGGGGTTGGACTGGATGGCCCACTGAGGTCCCTTCAAGTCTATGAATCTGTGAATCTATATTTGTGTTTAATGATAATTGCAGAAAATATTTTCATAGTTGAGCTACTGGCCTGGTGTACTGGATTTTTAATGAGCACAGTATTGTGAAATTGGTGTTGAATTGGTGGATTGTTGGACTTTGTCGGCAATGACTTCTGTTGAGGACACCAGTGTGGAGGATTTGAGTGTGGCCGTGAAGGTAATCTGAAAACTGGTCTGAGCCTCAAATGTTCTAGACTGATTTTTGGCATTGTCCATTTGTTACCCTTCAGTTTTGGGACTCCGTCAGTTTGAAGGACATTGAGTTTACTTACGTAAATGTTCATAAGTAATGGGTTTCCTGGACAAAGGAGAAAAGAGATCATGCAAGCAGATGAAGAAAGCACATATTTTGGGAGTGTTTGCATGTAACAGGAAGTTGTCACTGGAGGCAAAGCAGTGTGTGGAGCAGATTAAGGCTCTGAAAAAGGACGTGCTCAATGTTAAAAATGTAGAAGTCCAGGATCAGATAAGCACTCTGCAGGGTAACTTCTGGTGAGATCCAAATCAGATGGTTGAATTGGAACAAAAAGTGACTAGTGTGGAATTGGAAATTAGCAATCTGGACAAGGAATGCAATTTCTGGAAAGATAAAGCTGCAGATTTGCAGGCTGTTTTCAGGGTGTTATGGCAGGAATCACTGTCAGGTAGATCGAAGGCTAGCCATGAGAAGTGCAAGTGAACCATTACATTTTTGGAAGCCAAATTAACTGTGGCTAAGAGGGATGGTATCTGCCCTCCAAAAGGTGAAACTGGAAGTGGCATAGACAACAGTAGTGTCAGCAGCGAGTCTGTGGATTCTGACAAGACCCAAGTAGAACCCCTAGAGCAGCTGTTCCCAAACTCTGGCAGATTGCTCAACACCAATTTAAAATGATACAAACTTAGGTGCCACCAGGAAATTTTTGTCATATAAAGTAATTATAATAAATCTGTTAATGCATATCACTGACAGACTGTCTACATACCACTGGTGGTACACATATCACAGATTGGGAATCGCTGGCCTAGAGAGCATTTCAGTACTACTGCTTCTTTGTGCAAGTGGTCTCCTCCCAAGTCAGTAGAAATTGCACCATGAACGCCCATTGTGCCAATTCATGCAAAAAAGAAGATGATTAGACTGAGGATATGGGGGAAAGAACAGCAGTTGGAAACACTTCAAACAACTATCCCCTTTTCATTGTAGCAGTTAAGGGTGATAGGGAAATGTTTAGGACCCTTGAAAAAGGATAGTCAAAGCACAGCTTATTGACATGTTCCTGATAGAAAGAGAGGCACAATATATGTGACGGACTGGGTAGATTTAGTCCAAGAATGTTTAGACAGCAAGTATTTCTCAGCACTCCTGATCCATGTTCATAACCAGACAGTGGGTGACACAGACAAAATCCATGGTGCTTTACTAGATTTATTTTTTCCATGAAAAGCTGGCCATGGGACTATTCCATGAGGAGTGGCAGCAGATTGATGACCACCCTGAGGTGTACAAGGAAAGAAATAAATGATTGTATTGGCAGTGGGGCTCCCATTAAGGGATGCTGCTCACATAAAATTTAACATCAGAAGCTTTCAAGAGCCCTTTGTTAATAGATTTATAGCCCCAATTTGGATGTGTCATGACAGTGGAGCCATAGAATTGGAATTGAGTGAGATGATCTGTTGGGCCCGCAATGGGTATGAAATTTTCCAGCAGGGAATTAGAGAACAACAGAGACATGGCAAGTTTGCCATAATTAATAAGAAGGCTTGGCGTGCTAATGACCAAGAGCCTTTAAAGAGGCAATGCCAGTCAGATCAGAAGTGGCAAAAAGGGTAGTGAGGCCAGTGATGATGGCAAGCCTAAGAGGAAGCGATATCAGCCAAGGCAAAATTTTCAGCATACTCATGACACTAGTGAAGCTGCTAAGAAGTCAAAGCTAAAGGTGCCCTTTGTAAAGGGATAGGCTAGAGAGTTAATGCCATCTGACCCTAAAGCAAGACTAGGAAAGTATAACAGTGATCCGAATGGGAGGAAACCTGGATACCAAGAGGGGTCCAGAGTTTATAGAAAGCACATCTTGGCACTGAAGGATGAGGTGTGGCATGACTTGTTCAGGTATGAAACAAAAGAGGATGTGGACGCAATGACTGTGAAAGCTTGGCCAGACATACACATGAAATTTAAATGACCAAATTAAAATAACAGTGCATCTTGCACAAGAATGCAAGATTGTGCCTGGGACCATGTGAAATAAAGCAATCCCAATTGATTTCATCTCCTGTGCTAGTTGCAAATGTACTTAATATTTTATTATGCTAAATCATTCATAAATAACTGCATATCCCTATATGACTGTATATCTTCCTTGTTGACACATCGTCCCTTGATTAAGGCATATGTCTCAGAACACGCATTCAATTTCTGTCTGGGGTTTTGTAAATGTCTCCATAGACCATCATAAGTGCAGACTATTGTTCCCCACTGTTAAAACAACTACCCAAAACAGTGTCCTGTGATTAATGCCCCAAGGTATCCAGTTCAGTCAATCAAGACCCATTCCATTGATTGAAGTGTAACCTCCAAACTGATCAAAAACTTGCAGAAACAAGTTTCACACCTAGACAATCCAAAACAGGATCAATAGAGTTAGCAATTGTAAAGCGATGGTCCCTTCCTACCTGCTTTGTTTCAGACTTTAAATAGACCAACTATCAAGGAAGAATGCTTAGAAGCTATACAATTGAACAGTATAAGAACAAAACATAGTTACCAGCGAAGTGTGCACTCCAGGAGTGAGAGAAAGAGAAATCATTGCAACATTATAACTTTCACCCAGCTGATCATCACTCCTGGGCCACAATCCATGCCCAGTGAAGACTGTAAAGACTGAAATGGCTTCCTGCTGCATTGGTGAAAGATACTCTTGCAGGTAATATATACTAGGACTTTTGTGATAGCTCATTTACTGAATATTGAGAGGGATTCTTTTTTCTGTCATTTGGTTTCATCGTTCATTTGTAGTACAACTGTAACTCTTCTGCTGAGCACCTGTCAGCAGCAACAAAGGTCAGGTTCAATTTTGGGGTACTAAATATATTTTACCTTGGCTCAAGCCCCCCACCCAGTCTACCTTGGAAACACCAAATTAATTACAAGGGTGTCCAGTAAAACCAACAACCCTTTTCTCACAAGCAACATAAACACAAAATCCAAATTTATTACAAAGAATAAAGAAAAAACAAAAGTAAACACTAACTATAATTTTAAAACACTATAAACTACAAAGCAGAGTCTATAGGTGGCACCCTTTTGGGGAGGCTTTACCCATACTTCTGTACCAAATTCATGGATGACTCCAAATTATGGGGCAAAGTAGACACACTGGAGGGCAGGGAATGGATTAAGGCATATTTGGACAGGCTGGAGAAGTGGGCAGAATAAAATAGGATGCAATTTAACAAGGATAAGTGCAGAGTACTGCACCTGGGGAGAAAGAATCACCAACACATATAGATTGGGATATTACTTTCTAAGCAGCACAGCAGCAGAAAGGGATCTGAGAGACATAATTGACTCAAAGATGAACATAAGTCGACAATATAACAAAGTGATCAATAGAGCTAGCCACACTCAATCACGCATTAACAGGTGCATCACAAACAGGTCTAAGGAAGTGATCCTTCCCCTCTATCCAGCACTGGTCAGGCCGCAGCTGGAGTACTGCATCCAGTTTTGGGTGCTGCACTTCAAGAGGGATGTGAATAACCTTGAGAGGGTCCAAAGGAGGGCCACTCATATGGTTAGGGGCCTGCAGGAAAGGTCCTACAAGGAGAGACTGAGGAACCTAGATCTCTTCAGCCTCCATAAGAAAAGGCTGAGGGGGGATCTGGTGGCCGTCTACTAATTCACTGGAGGGTAGGGAGCAAGGTATAGGAGATACTCTGCTTACCAAGGCACCCCTTGGAGTAACTAGAAACAATGGCCACAAACTGACAGACAGCAGATGTAAACTAGACATTAGGAAGAACTTCTTTACAGTAAGGGTTACCAGATTTTGGAATGGGCTTCCATGGCAGGTCTCCCCTACCTTGGAGGTCTTTAAGAGGAGACTTGACAAAGACCCGGCTGGGCTCATGTGACCCCAGCACTCTTTCCTGCCCAGGGCAGGGGGTCAGACTCGATGCCCTACTGAGGTCCCTTCTGAATCCCTTCCTCCACCAAGGTCCCTTATGAATCTATACCCAGGCAGTCTGTGACTTGGTATTCCCCAAAGGGTAGTTCGGGGGCCTGCTCCCCTATATCTGCCCTTCAGCAATGGGCTGGAGAGGGGGAGCCACACCAGAGAGTCCTATGAACAGCTCCATGGGTCCACTGTGCCACAGGGAGCTGTTAGAGAATGTAGGTCCTTCTGTGTTGCAGAGGGCCCCTCGTTGCTTCCTGCACTTCTGATCTCCACTTCCAAGTAGTGGCTTTGAGGGATTAACTGCAGTTTTCATCAGCATATCGCATCCCAAAATTTCTAGTCCTAATCCCAGCTCTGTTGGGGCAGGAAACTTCAGGAGAACTCAAAGAAAAGCCAGTCAATCAGCAAAAGAGCTTGAACTGCAACAAGCACCAGACACTCTGCTTGGTCAGGACACAGAGCCACAAATGCAATAACATGTGCCAGGCCCAAAACATGCCAGGCCCAGATATACAGCAAATGTGCAGTGGGGCTCAGCAATACAGCTACACTGAGATAAAACAGCTGTAAAACAATAAAAAGAGGACTCAGGCTGGTCCTGCACCAGGGCCTGAACAAACAACAAAAGTGGGGCCAGGCCCATCTTACTTGGGTCTGAACTACACCTAGCACTCAACCACTCCACTTGGTTGAGGCATTAGCTGCAAAAGGGACAAGAGAAGGCCCAGGCCTATTTCGCTGGGCCTGGACTGGATGTCAAAGAGCCAGCCAGGCCTATGCACCACTGAGACCTGGCTAAGCAACAAGAAGTGCCAGGGCTTCACCCTGGCTCAAATCTGCCAGCCAAACATATGGCTGGGGTTCAGCCCCTCATAGGTCGGATGAAATGCAACACCGGTAAAACCGCAAAAAGGGCCCAGGCTTATGGCAGCAGCCTGGACATGTAGTCTCAGCTAAAGCACTCAGCAGAGGTACCAGTGGACTATCAGGGCCCTGTTTCCTGGTCAGTCTGCACTAGCAAATAATACACTCATAGCATCTGTGGCAGGCTAGTAGGGGGTGCTCCTACGCTGAACCAACCACCTCACTGTGCCCGACCAAAAACCACACTCTGAGAGTCTCCCCTGGGGCGCCTACGTCCAGCCAATCCCCTTCCTGGAGCCCACTTGCAAGCCTGGAGTAACAGCTGTCATCACCTGGGCCTGGGTCTTTGTTAGGGCTCTGTGCAGCCTGGGGTACACAGGCCCTGTAGACCTTGGGGGTCACTTAACCTACTGTTAACTTCTATTAGCCTGAAGCATTCACAAGCAGCCTCCAGTACAGAAAGAAAGTAAAAAGGCGAACCCAACTTAACCAGCCTAGCAAAGTGAGCTAACAAGACTGGTCCTCTTAAGCACCCACAGTGAGGCATGCTAAAACAGATTTATTGATCAAAGAGGCATAGGGTAAGGAAGGAACACAAAGCAACAAAATATAGAAAGAAAACCACCTTGAACAAAACTGTAGGCTGGTTAGCCTTCTGATACAATAAAAGCTCTGTTATCCGGCATCCCCTGGGAATGGGGGATGCTGGATAACAAAATATGTCGCTTAATTGAGTGGCCCGAACAGGTGTCCTTGCCTGTTCGGGCTGCCGCTTCTCCTGCCGTGTCCAGGGCATTGCTGCCCCTCTTGTGGCGTTGCCGACCCTCCCATGGGCCCCGCAGGACAGGAAGGCGGGCCCCACCCAGCCTGTTATGTCCCCGAGCTGTGGGGGCTCAGCAGCACAGACTGCTTTGCCCCGGGCCATAGGGGCTCAGAGAAACCGTAAGTGCCACGGTGGGCACTTCTGGTTTCACTCTGCCTTACAAGCTGGCCTGCCGGTTAACAGAGCATGCCAGCTCATAAGGTGCCGGTTACCGGAGATTTTACTGTACACGGCTAGGACATTTAAAACTAAGTTTCTGGCTAAATTTCAGGTAAGTTACTCACATATACATCCAGAGATTTCTGGAGGCCCGTGGTTCTGTGTGTGTTTCCAAGAAGGTGTCTCTCCCTCCCAAGATGAAGGTACCCTTTAAATAACCTGTCTGATCTCATCACCTGGACCCAATCAAAATCAGGCATTTTTTGATCACCCCTGAGGCTGACCAGTCAGTTTGAAAAACGTCAGCCCTCACCTTGAGG